AATAAGCACATATTAAAATAAACAAGTTTCACAGACGAAGCACACTTAAGTTCAATGTGACAAGCCTTGTCCTCAGGCAGGGTCTTAGTTTATTGCAGCTACCTCTGGTAGTATGCTCTAGACCTGAGACAATGCTGGTCTTTGAAATGGAAATATCTTAGACTGATGGAACATGAAATCAATATTCTCCAGTCTTTCAGGGAGACTAAAAGGGAAAAACATGACACAAGCAAACAAAGTGCTCAAGTATGAATGATGTTTTTTAAAAAAACCTAGCATCAGGGTGCCCTGCGTGCTGCAACGAGGTATGCTCTTGGACAGAAGTCTTTTTCAGCCACTACAACTGGACTTTCTTTTTGGTATGGAGAAGGGAGCACTAAAGAAGAATAAACTTCTGGGTCGTACCCAAACAAAAAGTCAGAAGGTAGCCAGGATTCACAATCAAACTGAGGTCTTGGGAGGCACTCCCACAACCTGCAGGTTGGACATAGGCTCAATGCTCCCAGACAACATGAAAGATATGGAATGAGACACATAAATGTGCACTTCTTAGGCAAGACAATAATGGAAGAAGGAAGTAGAAAAAAAAAAAGATAGAAGTAAACCTATAGAAGCATGGTATTCATGAAGAAGAAATATACAGAAGCAGAAGCCCTGGATTCTTTAGAGAATTCTTGGGTGATTAATTGCCTAGAGCAGGAGAACATGTACTCATATTTTAGTGCTTTATACAGGTCTGTATGTACATAAAGAGTAACTGTTTTGGAGCCTGAATGTATGTTTGCTTCATTTGCACATCTCCCTAAACACAAAAAATGTGAGTCCTCCACAAGGTTGAAGCAAGATACAGGCTTAAAGAAATAGGAAGTCTTTAAGTATCTGGGAGCTCTCTGGTGAGAATATAGCAGATCTGTAGCACAATTTCAGACAAAAAGGAATCTTCTGCAGGTTTTTCTTTGTTCATTTTTAAACATAACCCTATAACACTTCTGAGTTTCCCCCAAAACATAGGTGTCCCATCTTGACCCAGATTTCATAAGGGAGTGAGAGACTCTGTGTCACAGCAAAGAATCTGTGGCCAAAGAAACTACCACAGCATCTTGTATCCTTATGCAATAAAAGACAAGGGAGGGAAAAGGGGTCTTTTCAGAAAGCTAACAAGGGGAAAAGAGCTGATAAGGCCCATCCAGGCAAAAAAAAAAACTGAACAACAAAAATAGGTTAAATAATCCTGCATCAAAGACATTACTCGGAGGGAGAAACAGAGGCTGCAGGAAGCTTGAACATGAAAGATTTCAGTCTTCAAGACTAAGTTTTAAATGCTAGCTATGGCTGCAGCATATCTAAATAGCTAATATCTAAGTAGTAGATGGCTTAGCCGAAGCATCATTTCCCAGCTCTTGGCTCGTAATAACATGAATTCAGATACAGATAAAAATGGGTCAAAACAAAAACACAGTCAGGCCAACCAGGATATGTTTTACCCTAATCATTTGTTTTCAAAATTTATTAATATCCATCTCAGTGCTTCTTCTCCTGGAGTCCATGTTTCTATCTGCATGTCTACAGTCACTACCTTATAAAGCAGCTCTGGTCTTCAGAATTGCACCCGTATCGCTATGATTTGCACTCCCTTCTGGACAGCATTCTTCTCTCCCACTCATCAGTATCAAGATAAATATGATTAGCTCAGACAGTGAACAGCACCAGTTTCCAAAGGCATTGCCAGGTCTCAGCTTTCTTGCATCCTCTATCGGTTGTACTACCTCACAAGTGCCCTATTCATCTTCTCATCAAAGTTGTATGCAAGAAAATTCTTTCTAAATTTCAGTCTAAAACATAAATTGCTAGAACTGTCACCCATGCTGATATCACAATGCATCTCAGTTACTGCTTTGTTCTCCCTAACCCTGTAGAAATGTAACCTGCCATCTCTGGCATCTATTCCATATGCTACTGCTTTGAACTTTATTTTCTGAGCCATCATTCGCTTGTGACATTCGTACCTGTGCATCCTCCTGCTGGATACTCTTTCCCTTTCTCATCACTTACAGGTACGTACTTTCATTTCCAAGGAATTTCAAAGTCTAATTCATCCTCCTTCAGCCCTCTTCAAGACTTTCTTTTTCTGTACTAACAGCTCATTACGCTTGCCCTCCATGTTCTACTTGTTAAATACAAGTATCTCTGTTCTTCAGTTGCATTCCCCATTTATCTGTAAATATTCCTGAATAAATAGTACGAGACAACTGAAAAGTATTACATTCATTGTCTGACTCCAAAATTAGAAGCACTGAGGTTCTGAATTCGTAATGCTGTAGCAGTAAAGCTGGGTGAATAATTTACAGCATGAAGCTTATTTAATGAATTTTGCTTAATTTTCTGTTTATAGAATGATGAATTTGGTCTTCAGAAGTACTGTACCAATAATTTTTGCAAATTATTTTTTCCACATTGCTGAAGCAAATGAGCAAATTTGAAAACAGTTGTGTTTTGATGTTCAGGATAAATTTCTGTTACAGGACTATGTCTTAAAAGTAGGCTGTCAGTACAAACACTGGTGATGATATATCTAAAACTCACTGCCTGAGAATAACTTCTGAAATAGTAGCTGTGATGGTGGTGATCATCCCTATTAATAAAATTAGTTTCAAAAATACCATCTGGAAAAAAAAAAAAAAAAAAAAAGGAAGAGATACAAGCACATAAGTTACATTTATTTTAAAATGCAAATGCTTTTTCAAAAGGAGTTGTGTTTATGTCTTAAACCTGATTCTCTAAGGAAATGAAAGACGGCTCAGTGGCTGAGTTTTCTGTCCTTTTGTAATGCTTAATTGAGTCGCATTCACTTAATCCCACTGTAAGTTTTTTTTACTCCTAATTAAGAAAAGAAATATAAATGGGAAAAATAAAAATAAAAAAGAGATTTCAAAGACCCATATCCTGCAGGTTGAGAGAAGATGCATGCCTGGATCAATGTGGGAGATTCAGAACATTGTTCCCAGCTGCAGAACTGGCTGTCGTGTGAGCCCAGCAACAACAGGATCCCACTGGCATTCTGAGCTCCACAACCAGCAAGCATAGCACACACACAGCTCCAAAACAAGCGCACGCTACCTTACTTGTAGGGGTCAAGACTGTGGACAGAACCTGAAGACAGGGATGGAGTGTAGGGATGCTCAGAGTGTATGAGGGAGTAGGGAGATGGAGGCAAACCTGCGATGAAGGGATCTGAGGAAGACCCAGCAGTTCTTCGTCCTTAAGGCAGTAATGGTGGATAAATAATGTTTGAGGTGTAAGACAACCTTCCATAGAAAAACAGGCTTTGTTTATTCTTCTGCTCATTACGTGGAGGTCTTAATTTCTTTTTTTTTTTGAGTACTCATACACATACTTGATGTGTAAATCTCATCTTGCCCATCTCAGCAGCCATCATCTTACATAACTGATCAGAACAATATTGCTATGCAGTAACTTCTTCCATCTAAAGTGGCAGAAAGTGGTGAAAGGCAGTAATGCACGGTCTAAATGGCCTAATCTTCACAACTAATGTAAAAATATTCCTTCATAGTGTTTTCAGAGGACTCTGCCAACCGGCCCTCCATACAGATCAGTGGTTATTAGATACTTTATTTCCTATTGCTATGCAATCATAGTTTTTAACAAAAGAATGTCCTGAATGCCTCAGAACAGATAACTAAAATTAAGCTCTGGGAAAACACTGACTACATCTATA